TCACTGCTAGTATCGACCCTTCCGCGGTGCTATGACATGACCCGTACAAACGCTGCGAATCTTGAGGTACAATCCATATTCACTGTTATGGCTCTTTGCGCATATGGTATCTTTCAGCTCTTGTTTCTGTCTGTTTTTGGGTACAGACACTGCTCAGTCGAAAAGCCTCAGTATATTCATTGTAGCTTATGCACCCTGATAGTTTACCTTGGTTTAACTGGTGTAAGCACGCAACCTTCAATGCGCGGATAATACGCCTTCTCATGAGATAATGTCTTCGTAAGTTGACAAGTTGAGAAATAGACCTCCAAGAAACAAGAGCAGTCCCTTGTAGTAAGTAATAGTTTGATGATGTGTATACAAAACGGACGGAACCAGTGCATGGTTTTTGCCCAAAAAGCTCTGAATAGTGAATAAGCTTGTAGACAGTGACTATAAGAGATACATGGAGACGTTTCAGGGTTCTGCAGTACCGGCACCGATGTTGCATGACTCTCGAGCGCTGCAACCGTGATGAGCTACTGGTCCGTGGCCACGCTCACACCCTGTCTTCTGAATTTATTTCCAATGATGTGACAAGACTGAATAAGAAGCACAAGAAGCAATTGAAACCGAACGCGCAGAATAGGGCTAATCTTTCAATTGGGAAGATGAAAATACAAAAAGGAATGAAAGCGTCCAGGCTAAGTAATTATGAATACATTTCTCTTGTGCAAGCGGTGACTCTGAGGATTGATTCGGCATGAGCTCGGAACGAGAGTAGATACAAGCAATGTGGCGATCAGCCGTGCGCGAAGGAATACGGACAATTTTGATGGCACAAGGAGCAACTTTCCAGAAAATACAACCACTTCGTATTATTGTACCCGTCCGGGAGGATGGTATCTGAAACGGCAGTTGAGAGAGACAGGGGCGCCAAGGCTGTATTAGGGTTGATATTTCATCGAGCTGACAGGTGGTATTGATGATAACGGGGTGTCTTTGGCGTTGGTCGTTGAATAAGTTTCGCCCAGGGATGGTTACTCGGTTGTTGGCGTTCACGGCAAGCAGCTGCGGCGTTAAGGTTAGAGGCGCGATTTTTTTTTTGTCGGGGGGGACATACAGCAAATGTCATCTCCCCTTTATGAAAGCTAGCGTCAGCAATTGACCACCATGGTTGGAAGGACATATAAACAAACCAATATTGCTTGCTGACAATTGTTGGAGGACAGCGTCGCTCTGTTTCAATGTACTTCGAGCACCATGATTCAACCAAGTGATAATGGTGCTGACAGCTCAGCTCTTTCTGTTGAGGCGAGGTCAGCACAAACGGAAATAAGAAAGAGACATATTCGGGGCAACGCACATAGATATAATTACACATCTCAGTTTCTTGGGCTCAAACGCTGATAAGATAGAAGAAAAGTGAGGCTGCTTGCACAAGTATGCGGTGAAGAAAGTAATTTGACAAAGTAAGTTGACGGACTTATAAGGAGGCTGGGGCAGAGTGGACAATATGTGCACGTTTAGTCGGGCAACGGCAAAGTTGCAGAGTGGACGATATGTGCACGTTTGGAATATCACACGCTAAATAGCCCAAGAGCTTGGTTCTGCACGATGAGGACGTTGGCGCTGTCGATGCTCTTGCTTTCCCGTTTACGAGGGTCTCGACGGGGACAACAAGGACAAGCTTGTCTGCGTCTTTCCGCAGTGGCTGATTTACGATCACTAGTACGAAATGGCGCTGGGTCTTAATTTTGGGTTCATTCTGTGGCTGCGCTATGACAGAGCGTTCCAGCTTTTCTTCCCGATACTTGGGCCGCTTTCAGTCTCGGATGTACCGTTTTTCATGCAGCCTGCAACATTACTATGCCTGCGGCTGGCCTGAACTGCTTTCGTGTATTGCAGGTGGTAGCGACCAACGGATGAAGCGGAGGTGGTGCCCGCTTAGAATCCCTTTTTTTCCTTTTTTTCGACATCAAAGGACGGGGTGTTTGGCGCCCCTGCCAGAGCCACCAGGTTGGCCAGTCGGTGTAGAGGTGTCCAATGACCGAGACCCAACGCCCACCAATTTCGGGCAGTGTCCTGCTAGGGACTGTGTGACAGACGACAGGTACGCTTGTCCATGAGAGGAAAGGGCTTTTGGTGATTTCTCGGCATAGGATTGCGGACATGATCATCCCCCCTGGTCGGCGCACCCATGCAGATACTAGCTAGACCTTGTGGCTTACGGATGCTGTCCGGACCGCTTCCGTAGACCCACTTTCAGTAGCAAAAGTTGGGTGTACTTCTCGATATCGGGTTTCCCAGGGGACTACCTGGACAACCTACATCGCCGCTGCGCCGGGGTGGCTCAACAGGGCGATGGTGATACCAATCTCTCTACCTAAGACAATCCGTTTTCGCACCTCTGGAACGTACCCTAGCTAGCCCAGTCGATGTATTGGTCCTCGTGTAGGACACTGTGCCAGCTGTCCCAACGCCTGGCTGACCACTCTGTGCAGTACGCATCCTTGGCCTAGGCGAAGGTTGTCAGTGTACTTCAGCGTACCTGACCACCGTCTGCTTGGGCAGTGCTGGCGCTGTTCTTTCACCAGTAGCTGAGTATTGTGGACGCGCTGCACTAGTTGCATGCGTTGTGTCTGCATGTAGGTACTAGGTATTAATGCCGGATATCTTACGCGCTATGTATTGATTGAAGTATCACCCAACACAACATGTATTCCCCAAGCTGTAAAGGGGGCCTAATGGGATGATGATCGTCAGCACGCCTGAGCTCACTAATCGAACGAGCCCCCGCCTGCCGGTCCTGCTGGTGATGTACTGTTAACTGGCCTTTCTGCTTCTGGACTAGGAGAGCTAGAGGCAGGATCTTCAAGAACCGGATTTAATACTCAACAACGGAAAGGTTATATTCTCGTATCGGGTTGCGAGAGGACCTGTCCCGAACCTGTTTGTCTACGCAGTTTGTTGGGGAGTGAAGTAATGAATATGATAGCCAGCCTGTTCCCCCTTTCCCTTGTTATGGGATTACGATTGCCAGCCCAACGACTGCACGACAGGGGTTGCACACCGGGACTTTTGGCTTTTCAAAGTCTCACCGCCAATTCTCTGGTTCGCACGTAGTCGCGTGTTGGCTAGAGACCAAAAGATGTTTGTCGAATCGACATGTAGGCCCGCTGGCGGTGCACAGTTACCTTAAGTTTCCTCTATACTTCCTTAAGTTGGCTAAGCGTGCTGTTTGCTTGAGAAAGGCTGTAGTGTCTAAACTACAAGCCGTGAAAAGTATTTAAGCTTGGTTCCTCAGTCATGGCTTTGCTGCAACGGATCATAGGAACAAATATCCAAATTGCATACAAAAAGACAAACACGTCTTCCGAACATCCACAATCTTATTATTCACCATGGCCCACTCAACTGAGAGAATCAACCAGGTCTGGGCCAGGGTGGCGATCAACTCA